TGTAATTGCCTGCTTGCTTATCCACACAGCTCTTTACAGCTAATCCAAATGTGGACTCAAAAATAAATAGTGACAGAGCATTCAGCTCCCACTGGGCTGTCCTTTCAGCATTGCCTCTGCCTTCGCTTTGTTCTGAGTGGTGCTCTCGATGGCACAGGGTTGGACTCAAAGGAGATAAAAATGATTGAGCCACTCAAGGATTTAGGTGAGAGAAAAGCCACTCTCACCCTATCTGCTCCAGCTGTTTCTGCTTTTCCTTGGGGTGCTGCCTTATGGTTATTCATCTCTCCCTGCTTTCACCCCTCTTCCCAACCACAGCACTCTCCAACCCACTCTTCCTTTGTGGCAGCTGCTGCCCTCCCCGTCACCCCTTCTTTGTGTTCCCACACAGGGAGGGTTTTAACAGGGTTTTAGTGCTGCCTTCCTCAATTGAAAGATCTCTTCAGGGATGTTTAAAAACCATGCACTTCTCAGACCAGATTTTTTTCTGGAAGAGTGTGACACTGAGGCACAGCTGCATGGAGCTGGAGGGGACGTCCCTGCTGATGGGACCTGCCACTGCCTCTGCTCTCCAACGTGGGGTTTATGACCCAGCACTTGACCTTGCTGCACATCCTCCCAAAGCCAGTCCATGTTACAAGTGAACACCAGGAACAACAGAGATGATACAGTACTTGTCCAACGTGTCACTTTCTACATAGATTCAAATCAATTTACAACTGACAAAGCACAGAAAGCTAAAAATGTCTGCAGAGCCCTGACAGGCAAAGGGGACAATTATCCCCAGCAACTGCAATGTGCCAAGAGAGGCATTGCCTCGTGCTTTGATTACAAACCCAGCAGCACCAAAACATGGGAGAAGTGGGGCTGGTTTTTCACTCTGCCAGCTGAAGGTGGCCTCTGCCAGGTAGAGCAGGGGGACTGGCACAGCCTTTGGGTGAATGAGGAAGCTGAGCCACATTCTCAGGGCTCTTGGAGGTGGCCCAGAAGGTCACCAAAGAAGAAAGGATGTGACTCTTATTTGCAGCAACAAGCAGCAGCTCCCTCTCTTGTAGCTGATCTGTGTATGCAAGAATTTCTTCAAAAGGTGGTCATTTTGATCAGCTAAGTCACCTGGGATGAAACAAGTTATCATGGAGATAGAAATGGATAGGAAGAGGCTCTGGGGAAAAAGAAGGAAGAGAAGTCAAAAAGATAAGCAGAAGTATAGACTATAAAGTCTGCTCTATAGGTAGTGGACTACCTAGACTCATAACAGGCAGGTAGCTCTTGGAGCCAGGTAGGAAAGAACCTGAGGGCTTAAAGAAAAAATTGAACAATAAGGCTTGAAATTTTTTCCACAAAACATAAAATCAGTACTGGAGAAAAAAAGATCATGACATGCAAATCTGGATGATTTAGAGGTTACCTTGGAATATTTAATTTTGAAGTGAATACGTACTGGATGTCATCATGTAGTAAAGAAGTATGACTCAAATTTTCTGAACATCCCTTTGACTAATGTGTAATACTGGGCAGAAGGATTTAATAATTATAAGGGATGACCTGAAGTTAAAAGAAGTTTGTCTTCGAAAACAAACCATAAGCCCCTGTATTCTGCACATAGCTAAGTTGCACCACATGTGATGGCTTCAGTCGTATCTAGCAGTCTCATCTTTCTCCTTGGGACATGGAGCATCTTAGCCACATTTGTGCCAGTGGAGTGCAGTGAGATCTGTCCCAGGCACGATCCTCCTTTAATTCAAAAACCAAGTGGGATGCTCAGCCCTCAGCTCAAGGGAGATTTAGGAGAAAGGCCAGAAATAGAGGTGAAATCATTAATGCAGCATCATTAGCGATCAGTCTTCCTGAACTCATTAGTATATTAGCACCAGCTCCCCATTGTCCAGTTTTCCCTTGCTGTAATGAGGAACCCCAAATTCAAGGTCGTTTGCTGGCTGGATTAGTCACTGAGTGCAGCCGGAGCTCCTGGGATACTCCAACAAGAGCAGTTATTTATGTCATTCTGTCCCACACCGTGCTCATTAGCTCACAGTACAGCAAGGTCTGGTCACGAGGCAGAAATACACCGTTTGATATCGCTGTTGCTGCTTCACGATTTAGTGTTGCTGCTGGCAGGGCGTTAAATGTTCCCTAAGTGGTAACTGTCTTCCACTAATGTGAATGCATTTCTTTTGTAAGTTAACTTATTGCTTTTCCTCTTAGTCCATGCTGGCTGTTCTTCTGCTCTGGCCACAGATAAAGTGGAATTCAGGCAAGCAGGCACTGGGCCCTGCAGGGAAAAGAAGTATTTTGAGGAAACATTGCTCCATGAATAGTGTCACAACATGAGAATTGCCAGTTTGGTGCTGATCTGCTCAATTTTAACAACCCCACCGGATTTTTCCTCAACCTCTCCCTGGTGCAACCCCACTTCCATCTACCCCTTCACATTGCAATGGGCCATACCTGGGAGCTGGATGTTTCAGGCTCTGTTTTTGTTCTGATTCTGGCTTTTACATTACTTCCATACCAGGATCAGCAAACTCCCCAAGGTCATCTCTGGATGCAGACAGGAGAATCTCAGCTTAGCAGTTAACTGCATAGTTGTGAGTAGGAAACAGCAGATGTTGCACCATAGAGCTAACCTTTGCCTAAAGGAGACACAAATTTAGCGACTTCCATCTGACTTCTGGAGTAGCTTCCATGATGTCATCAGAGTTAGGATTTTACACAAGATTAAGTGTGCAATTGCGTGTTAAACAGTGACCGTTAGCTCAGATTGCCCAGCTAATGAAGCAGGCAGCATTAACACCATCACATATGGTCTGCTTCTAGGCACCGGTGCCATGAGGGACTCTGAAATCTCTCTGACGTTAGAGGAGGAAGGACACCTCTCTTCCCTTCTGGCATCACCCCAGTGGGGCAGCCCCTCACTGCCAGCCTCACCCTCTGGCTCTCTTGTGACGTGCTCTGGAGCTTGTGGGTCTACTCCTTGCCCAGGAAGGACAAGGACTCAAGCAGGCAGCAGAAGCTGCTGATCTCTTTTAACGAGTGCCCAGGGTTTTCCTAATTAGGAACAGACTCTGATAGCACTCACCACCATCTCTGGGAGCAATCAGGACATAGTAGTCCAGCCAGCCAGGCTTTCCATCCTGTACCCTCAAGGCAGCAGTGGTAAATACAAACATCGTTTTATTTTCCAGCAGTAAGGAGCCCCGGCACTGAGCCTGGCAGAGGTCTCAGACCAGACACCATCATGGCCTCCAGGTAGCTGCTCTGCACTCTCCTGAACTGCTCAGTGCAGAAACACCAGAGTAGGATTAGACCCAATATCTACAACACAAATTTATGTCTGTGATCCCTATAAAAACACTTCTTAGCTGGTGGCTGATAGATGCTATTTCACCTTCTAAACTACAGTTATTACAGGAAAGAAGGACTTCTTGTTGTTGATTCCCCAGTACTTACCTACTGTGGTTGTAAGAAAGAAAAGAGGTTTTACTGGCACAAAGACCTGCAGCGATGACAATATACATGAGGAAAAGACTAGAGAAGAGTCCATTCCCATTGCCTCCCTTCTTTGGAACCACTGTCTTGTCCAGTTTACTGTGCATGAATGCAGCACAAAGCCATGCCAGATAGTACTCAGCCATGTCACTCAGCAGCCCATCTGTGTACACATGGATTCTGGCTCCCTGCCATGCCTGTCTTTCCCTGCAGCCACCTCAGCTGGATTTCAGTATTCTCCCAGGTTCATCACTATGCAAATATTGAAATCACCGTGTTTACGTAGATAGTGGCATCACAGACTTTTCCAGGAAAGAAGTACTGAGGAGTTCAAGTGCCTTCTCAACAGCTGGGTGTATTTTTCAGTGAGTTGCAGTGTATGAACTCCTCCATTAAAGCATTCAAAATCCCGCATATTTCATTTTTTTCTTTAACTTTTCTCACAAACGCCCGAAAGCACAAAGTGCTAAGCAAAGAAGTAACGTGAAATACAGTGAATCTGTATGGCCCAATCTCCACAAATGGAGATTATAGCCAACTTCACTGCACTCAGATGAGCAGATTTGGAGAAATTGTGAGGGGAGTGGAAGCTCCACTGGCAATATCCATATTATTTATGCAATTATTTAACTGCAATCCGTAAGGATAGTTTTTCATATTCAATTAATCCAGGGTATCCACAATCTTCTAGGACTAGATATAGCAAATATGCCTTAAATCAGGGCAGTTCTGCAGGTCCAGACAAAAGAGAAATACTTCCTGAGGTCCATTCGGTGCTGTATTTCACATTTGTGAGATCTAATTGCAGTAAAGGGTTAAAGTTGAAATGAAACCTCTGAGACTGGAGAAGGCATCACCTGTCTGATGCCCCTGTGAAACACAGAAGCCCCAGGCAGGAGCTTATTCTGTGGGATGTTAGAGAAATCTCTTGAAAAGTGATATTGGAAGAAAAATCCCTGAAGCCCAGGTTGAAATATCAAGCAAATCATACTTCTTTAGCTTCAGAGAAAGCTCTACCCGATCTGGCCAAATGGTTTTGAGGCAGTAATTTTTCTGTGGGAAAAGACATCTTTGTCACATCAGATACAATTCCATAAAACACTGCATTTATGTCTCATACTTCTGTCTCATTCAGACACCTTTCCTGAAAACCTCATCTCACTGAGGACAATTGTGTAGCCAATAAATTGCAATAAGCATGCATTTGCTTAAACAGCCACTTTCTCCCAACAAAATGCCGCCATAACATTGGATGCAGCTATTACCTTTTCTTAAACTGCCAATGATTTCTTGTTCATGGTGCAAAGCCTGCAAACTGTGGAGCATATTTTACCAGGGGGGCAAACAAAATTTGTCCTTCATTCCCTCTGCCAATTTGCCATTCTCACTACTTTACATCTCAGCTCAAGCTTATCAAATAATCCCTTCTGGGCGCAGCCACGGCAGATCTGGGTGTAACTTGGTCTGCTGCACTGGGTGGGCAGTGACAAAAACTATCACTCTTCCCCCAGGTCCTTCCATCGCCCCACTGCAGCAAGCAAAGCCAACACTGGGCAACCCTCTAAAATGTTTATTTGGACCAGTGGCCGGAGCTCTACATCTTACAGACACGATGAAAAAAGGTAAATGGCATCAATAATGATTGTTCTCTGATGGGTTTGGAATCTCTAGGACCACGACCTGTCACTGCTCTATAGCGGTGGCACTTGGGGAGGGAGGAGGGATACAAAGCCCCTTGTTCCCTCAGCTGCTCTCTGAAGGCCAGCTCCGAGGTTACCACAGCACACAGCACACTTATCCCCAGCACAGATTTGCAGTCACGGCTCCAAGCCTTTCACAGGTGTCCTGCTCCCTGCCCACAGCACACACATGCCCTGCTCCAGGCACAGCTCACAGCCTCCTCTTTTCCAGCTGCCTCTCCTCCAGTCACCTATGCCTTTTACACATCTACGTGATGCATCCAGCTGCCAGAGATGCTTCCTGTTTCTATGCATGCACATGTGGGAAGCATGTGTGCATGACACTGCACAGCAGCTGGGTGATGGCAAACAGCTGGAAAAGTTGCTGGCTTCTGGTCCAGCCCAGTTCAGCAGTACTGCTGCAGGAAATAGGCTGATGGACAGGGGAATACTGAGTCTCACACAGACAGGGAATTGCACAGACGAGAAGGAAAGGGAAGGAGAGGTTTTAAGTCTACAAAGGCAGCACTCAATTGGGAATGAGAGAAGTTAAATATCATTTCTGAGAGAACAATTGTCAGTAATGCTCAGGCTCATCCTTCCAAAATCTCTCTGCTTTGTAGTGAGATTTGCTGGGCAGCTCATCTTGTCACCACCAAACACATTTCCCCTTCCTTTCTTTCCCCCTTCTCCCTTGTCTCCTCTCCTTCAGCTCTCCTTGCAGTCACTATTAACTGCAATCACAAAACATCAGACTCAAGTGAAACAAAACCAGAGGTCAGTGCAGCTACAGTGCCAATTAGCAAAACACACTTGCTAGTTATTCTAATGAGACATTACTGCTGGTATCTGCCTAGGAAAATGGGTTTTGAGTCCAGGTACTAGAGCTGCCTGCGGGATGTTGGGTTTCTTTGGAGGACTGGCTAATTCACTGAACTCTGTTGCAAATTCCACAAGGGTGCTCAGCTCTTTGGATAATCCAATCCCAAATAGGTATTTTGAGGACTTGAGCTTAGCAGCAGGTTTCCATGGACATTCAGTTGGAGCTGGACATCTAACTGCTTCCTGTACTTCTGCAAGTCTCTTCTATAATTGAGTTTTCCCCAGGCTTATGTTCTTCTACCCCCTACGTACCAGCCGTGGCAATTCCAGGTACCTTTTCAAGCCATCAGAAGGGATTGAAGGAAGAGAAAATGAGAACAGGAGAGTGCTGACTGCAGCCTCAGGACTGCAGAAGAGAGGTGTGAACATGGAACAAGTGCTCACGACGGGAGGAACTCACCCGTAGCTATCTGATGGCGATTTTAACATGCGTAAGGTCACTGGCAGCAGCACCACGTCATACAGTCAGTACATTTCAGACAGATAACATCCCCTAAATGACCCTTTCCTAGGAATCCTGTGCTCATTAAGCTTCAGACAGAAAGGCTGTCAGCTGGAGCAGCAAACTTATGCCAGCAAACAACAGTCTGCTGCAGCAGTGGGTCACTTGCTGGGGGATAATTGCCTCCTCCAGGGTGGGGAGTGTCTCTCGGGCATCTGCTTTGGTAGCGCCAAGGCCAAGAAGTGCATTCATTGCTATGTTTGAGAAATCTGCTGCTCCCCAACTGCCACTTCCTAGGCTTTGGAAACCTAGCCAAGACCTCATTACTTCTCAGCTGTTCATTATCTTTTCCACAGTGCTATAAGCTTGGAAAACCAAAGCACAATTCAGTTTGGCCTCTTTTGGAGGTGACAAGGTAGGGAATTGAGTGAAGTCCATTCTTAGTGATAGGAACCACCAGAGAGGTTCATGTACGAGTTCCAGGGACATATCCTCTTGCAGTACTTTAGATAATAAGAATTGATGCAACAAAGCATCCCCAGTAAGGAAAAATGTAAATACATTGGATTATGAGTAGAAAAGCCCCTGAGCAGTAGAAATTCAGTGGTTAATATATGAGAGGTTTTTGACCTTTTTCTTCAAGGACTTCTGCTATCAGTAGATATCAGAAGTATGACTTCTGCATAATAACTGTGATATCAGAGAAGAAAACGTAGGTTCAAAGTCACTCTGAATATTCCCAGCAGACAGGAATCTCAACAGCCCCGCAGCCCACAGAGCAGGTGGGAAGCAAGCGACAAGCCTTGTCCTTCTCATTACCTACTACTAAAATATCTGTCCCCAACGATGGCAGAGAAAAGTCTTGGCTGCAGCAAATGGGAGCAGCTCTGCAGAAGATAGGGAACTTCTTTATGAAGGTGATTAGGCACTGCATTTCTCCTTGGTTGTAGCATTCAGGCAGACTAACGTAACACACACCCTCCTCTCCCTTCATCTGATGGCTTCATAAGGAGCTGCTGACCACCCTGCAGTGGGATCCCTGCTTTGCTGCCACATCCACAGAGGGACCGCTCTGCTGTGTCCCCCACAGGCAAGGCCACAGCTGAGGTTTCCTCTCTGGCAGTCGAAGAGGGGAGAGTAGCCAGCCCATATCCTGTGAGCAATTTGGCAAAGGGAACATTTCAGCTTGAAAATGATGATGAGAGCAAAGACCTTTTGTCCTTGGAGGTTTGCTTTCTATTAAATGTCTTTACAGGAGGCGGAGAGACCTTGTGTTTTGACAGCTGTGACATCTTTAAAAACAAAATACACCCACTTCCACACCACTATCATATTTGGGGAGTTGCCACAGGTAATCACAATTATTAGATGGAGTCTGCGAGATAAGCAGTGATCCGTGTGCTGACAGCCCTGGGGTGCAGCATCAGCCGGCCAAGCACAACACCCCTCCAGCTCTCCCAGTCAATAAGTGCCAAAAGTTCATATGTACCAAAAGTTCACACATGCTTAAAACCCATTCCACACAGCAGCAAACTCACGGGCAGGGTAACACAGCTGCTAAGGCGATGCTCAGGCTGCCCTGCTGCAGCAAAATATTCTACTCACCTTTTAGCCCATCTTTTCCTAACTCACGCTCTTGGCTCAAGGCCACATAGGAAGCATTTGCAACCATTCTCAATTAGCTATTTGTTTTTAAATTGTCCATTTGTATCCCTTTTATGTCCTAGCTGCTCTGGTGACACTGGTGAGCGATGGCTCTGTGTTTTATGTCTACGCGCTGACATAAGTTATGCTGTGTGATGGGGTAATGTTCTGGAACTGCATGACAATTTCTGCCTTCCTGCCTGCTTCCATTTGAAAGCAATGCAAATTGTAATAGCAGCTCTCAGAGTTAAACACAGATTGACAAATAATCATAAAAAAGTAGCATCAGATTATTACTCTACGTCACTTATTTGAAGGCAATGGCATCCACCACTTCACAATACATTTTTCTCCCCAGCACCAGGGAAAATTTTGACAGGCAGAATTACCATTTCATTCCCAACTAGAAAAACAGTGACAAGCTTCAAAGGACGGTTTGGAAGAGAAACCACAGACAGCCAAAGGAGTAAATTACAGGAGGATGAAGAAACCTCAAGAGGTCTTAGTTATGGGGGATTGATGGCAGCAGCATCTAAGTACAATTCTTACTGTAAAACCCCACACCTCCTGTGCTTTGCATGACTATGACTCATCACCTAAACACAAATTCAATTCCACTTTTAAGGAGTTTGTGATTAAACGTGTTTTTTTTTCTTGTTTTTACTATGCTTTTGTATGATTTTCCATCTGTCTCGACTGTGTCCCTTTTGGTGGATGTAAATGATACAGTTGGTCTTTCGTCACGCAGTGCTTTTTTCCAAGGTTGAGTGAAAGTTGGTGGTTCAGTTTAAAGGAATGGAGGGTTTGCAGTGATGTTGATGTTGCTCACCTGCCATTTTGCAGACAGTAGAAGAGGAACCTCTTCCACGTGTACTACCATGTCCATGTTATGGTGGTGCCAGGGCTCAGAGGTGTGCGGTTCTCACGCTTCGAGTGCTGCCTGGATGATTCTAAAGAACCGTAACAGAAAACACAGGAGATTTTGACCAGCCTCAGGTCTGTAAGTACATTTTAAACCCACAAAGTTTGAGTGTGTTTGAAATGTACTCAAATATTTTCTTCTTCACCATTGTGTCCTCATGACCCATCGAATCATCAAAGGCTCAGAGATGAAAGGAGGACTTACGGTTAGAAAATGGAAAGGACTCTGCTGAAGGGGGAATGGTCTGTTGTATCTGCTTTTTTTTAATCCCAGAACAAATAGCTTTAGTGAATAATTTTCTGCCAGAGTTTTCAATGTAATGAGTAACGGAGCTTCCTGAAAGATATTTTTTAAATAAAGCAAATAAGCTCTCAATCAAATAAACCCACAGAAATCAACTGCAAAATCCCCAAAGTGTTTCATGAGCCTTGAGCTGCAATCAGGGCTGAACTTTTCCCAAACCACTAACCTGTAGGGAATCAGAAAAGAAAGCTGTCCCTTCACAAAATGTCAGTGACTACTTCTGCAAGTTATATCCTGCATACAGGAACATAAGTCTTGTTACCATATTTGACTGAAGACAAGACACCTTACATACCCAAATGTGTTATAGTACCCTAAATTGGCACTGAGAAATCAAATTCATTTATATCATAAATATTCTGAGCCAATGAAGCTGCACCAAAGAAGGACCTACTGAGCTGGCACAAGTGTCTAATCTTTATATTTGCAATAAGAGGTTTTTACCTTCTCAGAAATGGCTGTAATTTGTTTTGGAGATGAATTAATTTCCACCAGGTCAGAGTGAATCCACTGAATAAGGACACCTGAGGACCCTTAAGCCTTTCTCTCCCACAAGATGGGTATGGAGGTGGAACTGCCCACCCTAAAGAGGATTCATTGACTAAATGAACTTCACATAAAAATATATTATTTTCAACCTCAGAAATATTTACCAAAAAATCAGGGATCATGATCTACTGGACAAAAGGAAAACAGTCACAGCCCTAAAAGCTGGAGAAGACCGGGCCATACTCCTCGGGCTGGCCATGATGGTGTGCTCTATCATGATGTACTTCCTCCTGGGAATCACCCTGCTGCGGTCCTACATGCAAAGGTAATTTTGGTGTGGTTACCCTGACCTCACATACCCTGCTCCAGCTGACTTATCACAGCTTGTTCTCATGACTGGTTTTATTAAAGTTGCATAACTTCTCTTTTTGGTCAACAAAGATCATATTCTGCATTTCATTTCCGTAAAATAAATTAGGCATAACGACAGTGAGAGCAAGCTGAGCAGTGCAGGCATAAGTGAGGGAAAATTTAGATCCCTGTTTGACGAAATCTGATCCATAGGCTTTAGCCTTGCTGCAGTTTAACACAACCATAATATCCACATCAGCTGTTCTGCTGCCTGCTGAAACCTGTCAGACCCCCAGTGCTTTGCTACAAAGCCCAGACAAAATCCGGAGAGAGCAAAAGTATTTAGCGGCCTTGAGAAACAATGCACTTTCAAATGAAAAATGGAGAATTAATTTGGAAAGAAATCCAGCTGCTTTAGAGCATGTTGTTTTCCATGTGGGTTACTGCTTTCACATTTAACAAGTGAAATCCTCCCAGAACACAGCAATTTGTGAAAGTGAAATATCGTCTTTCATCTTTATTGCACTGTACTTAATTTTTCCAAGGCCTTCTCTGGCTTCTTTCTCTGCAACAGAGCAGAAATTTTGGCCTGTGATTCATTAACAGTATTTGAAAGCAGATTTCAAGCACCAGCCCTATTTAAAATCCATCCCATACAGAAATAAGAGTGTCAACAATGGTTTTTCCACTCCAACCAGCAAAGTTATGGGGATGAAAAACATGTAATTGTGGATCAAAATGGCGGTCTGCAAGCCCAAAACTTGGCACACGTTGGCTTATCAACAACAGAGTCTGTATTAAGATATTCACAATAAGTGCCTGAAGTTAACTGGTATGAATATCCTCAATTACATCACTGCAAAAGTTGAAAATCATTCCTCAACCCTGCCATGATAAGGAAAAAGAACCATTACACATGAGGATGAACTGAATGCCAGCCAGCATCTTATTTGTGCAGTAAAAGTATTTACCCCTTCTTAAGTCCAAGCAAAGTTTAGATTTCTGGAGACAGGGATCGAGGCCTTTTAAGTATCTCAGAGCATTTGCATTTCCAAACTGTCCTCACAGACCTTTCAGCAGTATCAGGGTCAATTGCAGAGGCTGCTAAGGTCAAAATTGCTCGTGTGGAAAGCTGATTTATATAACAAACTATGTGAAAAAATGCCTGAAGCACCTATGAAGTATCAAATATTCCAACTTCACAAGTCTCCCATGGATAGGTGTTACAGTACTACCCACACCTGTGCATAAAACAGCAGTCAAAGGGAAAAGTGAGTAAAAGAAGGGTTTCTGCAGGTGTCTGCTAGTGAATGCCCATATGCCAGCAATGAGAGGTTGTCCTTCTTGAGCTGAGCTGGATGCCATGGTTAATGGTTGAGGCTCAGCTCATGGCATCCCTTCACAGCCCCACTTGTTATGCGCTCTCCCTGGAGCACGCTGCTCCGTATCCTTCTCTGCTGACTCCTTTTGATCTTTATAGACCTTCTTCAGACTGAGACCCAGTTCCCTTTTCATCTACATACATAAATTAGTGAATAGAGATATCTTCCCAAACATTAGGCGCTGCAGAATAACACAAGAAAGTCCAGCCCTTTCTAAGGGCTCAAAGCCCTTCAAGATTCCCCTCATATATCCCCAATGGAAATTCTGAGCTGCAGTCAGTGCTTATCACCCATTCTAGCCATGCTCTGACATCTCCTTTTTTCTGCTTTAGTGTCTGGACAGAAGAAGCTCAGTGCTCGCTTCTCAACGCATCCATCACTGAAACCTTCAACTGCTCGTTTAGCTGCGGCCCAGACTGCTGGAAAATCTCTCAGTACCCCTGCCTGCAGGTGTACGTCAATCTCACTTCTTCTGGCCAGAAGCTTCTGCTCTACCACACCGAAGAAACAATGAAAATCAATTCTGAGGTAGGAGCACGGAACGAAATTTCTTCCTAAATGGATTTCTGGAGGGCTGCTCACTGTGTTATAGCCATTCCCTGTTTAAACGTGATATAAGGCTTGCAGCTCCTACTTTCCTGTTAAACGCAGAGCAGAGAGCAGTGCCCAGACAGAGCTTCCATCTCTGAAGGGGAACATTCTCCTCCACCCCATGCAGACAGCACATTCTGGAGTGCCACACCTGAGGCTGGAGCCTCCTCTCATCCCTCCCTCCCCTCCCCCCAGTGCTGGGGTCACAGATGGTGCAAAGATTCTGAAGGTTTACATAAAAGAGACTGTCAAGACGAAAGATAAAAAAATAAAAGGCAGACTAAGATGCTGGCCCATTTTCTCACACCATTTCCCCAATTCCAGACTTTGAAAACAGAAATATCTTTAACAGAAGAACTCCTCTCTGCTTCAGCAAGTGTGACACCCAGCACGACTCAGTCCAGGTGGGACACAGACAGCTCCTGCCTGCAGGCTGCGATGCAGGCAGCGGGCACGCAGGCAGCAGGCGCACAGACGGCACGCAGGCAGCGCCGCTCCGAGCAGCGCCTGCTCACAAGTGGCTGCGAGCCGCCTCTGCGATGCTGCGTATGGGGCTCTGACACGCGCCTCTCTCATCTCCCCTTCTGCACATCTCCAGCACTGGGTGCCAAAGACCACAGGCTGCAGCAAGATGGGATGCAGCTCAGTCACGAGGCTTTAAATGCTTAGTTATCCAAGGTCACTGAACCCCAAACTACAGACATGCTGCAGTCCGCAATGGCAGAGCCCATGTTCGAGCAGCTGACAGCCTAACCTATTGTATTTCTATTTATGGCAGCAGTTCAGGAGACCAAATTACTTCTGTATATTAAGATGAAGTGATATTAAAATGAGTCAAAGCACCGAGTGGTTGCACAGGGTGGTTATTCTGCTGGATAATTAGCTCCTGTGGCTGAGAAACAAAGTCCTTTGGAGTTGAGGTGTGAAATACAGCAGTGTCCCCATTCCACCCCCAACAGTGCAGAAAAGAGGCACCTGCAGTCCATTTCCCAGCACCTACAAGCTAGGGCAGATCCGACTCTCCGCTGAGACAGAAGTAAAATCCAGTGATTCGATTAAAACAGATCAGATCAGTTTCTGCACTCTACTGGATTCAAGTAAATCAGGAGGTTTAGCATAAATCTCCACATTCTGCTACTGATTTTTGTTTGATGAAAACAGATTTTGAAATTCTCCTGAATACCTCCACCTCTTAATTTAATGTGGGCACAGTTAATACTCCTCCAGCCCAAGGTTGTTTTACAGGTTAAGCTCTACTCTCAAGAGGATTCCTAGGTTTTCCTCATGTGCTGCTGGCTATGTGACCTGAATCCAAACACAGTTTTTAATGGACGCTCGCCATGTCTGTAAAATAACTGGCTGGGATCAGCAGAGCCTCCAGGCTTCAGGCCAGTGCAGCCCATTTCTGTGGGGACCACCTCCTCCCAAACCTTTTCTAAGATCTGCATTACATGGTAGAAGCACTGGGACAATTCCTACTGCAGATCTTGGAGGATTAGGAAAAGGATGTTCCATTTCAGTCTCAAGGGTTATCACAGCTTCAGCAGAACGCATGGCTACAGACTAGAAAGTGAGGTATTTTACCAAAAGACAGAGGAAATGCCAAAATCCCCACATCTGCTCAACCCATGCTCAGCACTCACCACCTTCCTCCTGCTTCATCACACCTTCCCAGCAAACCCACCCTCACCCCCTGCATCCATGTCCCAGCAAACTCTTCACCCTAAGCAGCCATTGGACCATTTGCATTATTTCCCCCTCTTCCTCTACCCATCTCTGCCTTGCAGGTTTGCATTCCCCATCTTCCTCCTTGCTAAGCAAGCCAGAGAGAAGTCTGCCCTGGCTCACTGAGCCCTGACAGAGATGAAGATGCACAGACATGTTATACACCAGCACACACGACCTCCAAGAGGTCCCCCTGCCTCGTTGAGCACCGCCACGCATGCCAAGCAGCACCTGCAGCCCATTTTGCCCCTCTTGCCAGCAGCAAAATGAGCAGAATGCACTTTGATTTTAAATAATGATTAATCTAGGAGACTTGCTACCTAACGGAGCTGCTGTCCCACATGGCGTGGTGAGAAACAGGTGCCATTTATATTGAGACATACGGCGTGCCGCTGCCAGTCTCAATGGGAAGTAAATGGATGCCAGCTGAGCTGCTCAAGCCTATCCCAGAAAAGCATCCACAGTTTTTCATGGCTTGTCATTGCACTGACTGTCTGCACTTTATCTCTAGCCTTAAGACAAGACCAACTCCTTGCCAATACTACAATCATGGCAGCTTAAATACTTTCACAGCTATACTTTTCTTACTTGGTTGCCATACACTACAAGAGTCGACATTGGGCAGTGTAGCCTGCACCCAGAGACGTCTGCCATGCCAAGGAAGGACTGAGCAGCTTAGAGCAGTTCCAAAAGCCCCGATTCCATTCCGTGCTACGTCATCTTGATTCCTTTCATGTCACCACTGGTTTATATCCATGCTTTGTAAGTGAGGTAAGCAAGCAGATTTGATCATCAGAACCAGTTACGTGCTTGCCCAGAGTTGTTGTGCAGTCTCCAACCATGGAGATCCTCACAGCTTGACTGGCCAAGTGACCCTTCACTGAGCAGGGCTTTGGGTTGGACAAGTTGAGAGGCAGATAGCCTGTACAGATTGCCCAGTCCTTTAAATTAGAAAGGTAGGGCTGGAAATCTAGCAAGTTCTCTTTATAACTACCTAGCATGTGCTCTTAGTGATCAGATTGCTAGTAACACAAGAGCCACTTATCCCATGTTTTATCACAGAATTCTTACTTGAGACAGAGGTCCAGACAAAGTTTACTTCCATTCTTGCGGACCTCCAGGTGTTTGGCAATGCAGAATTGTAATAAAGCAGCGCAGCTTTAGTAGTTTACATTTATAGACACAGCATAAGAATGGCAGATATAAAATTCCCTGCCAAGCATTTGAGAAAACTAAATGGCAATCAAACCAAAGAAAACACTGCAAACATCCCATTATCAGCATCTGCCTGCCTGCCCATCACCCACACAATGCTCAGAACTGAAACAAGGACATTAGCACATGGAGCGAAGGGCACCCGTTATCTTGAAGCATGAGAAGACATGATTTTGGCACAAGGAGCCTGGTTGTGATGCAAAGCATATCAAGCTCCCTTGCATGACTGCCTTCCATGGCTTCATCACTTCAAACCCAGTTGGCTCAGGCAGCCCAACCAGCCCGACACGGCTGGTGGCTCCGTGTAGGAGGCAACAGCTCGAGTTTTGCTTCTGCATCAGGTCTGCTTCAAAAGTGCTTGCAGAATACTCAAGCCTGCAGGAAGCCAGGATCTGCAGAACTTCCCCACTGCACTCTGGGGACAATTCTGTAGACTCTGATTCCAGGAACCTGTCATCACTGGGGCTTTTACATGCCTGCTGTTTTCTGTCAAGAGGACAGGACTGTGCAACAGCAGCCAAGTCCTCATTCAGTCTCCTCTCTCAGGACAGTAGCAGCTGCTTCAAGGAACAAAAAAATCTGACTCCAAACTTGCAATAAAAAACACAACAAAGCATCAGAGCTGGAAATATTGCTGTTAGGAACATGATAGCATGATTCAGTAAAAGAAAATTAGGTACAGCTTCACTGACAATTTTCCCATACTGAGTAGATTATGATCTATTAAGGAGTCACAGACACTGGAAGAGGGCTTGCAGCTTTGGACATTTAAGACAAAGCTGGGCAGAGTGCAAGAGAATATCCTGGGGGGAGCAGCCCGGCACCAGCAGGAAGATGGATGAGATATTACTGACCTGATATTTTCCATCTTTAATTTCTAGAGCTCTATGAAATATTCATTATGGCAGGCCGACATGCTCTACCCTTAATGCTGCAGTCGGCTAACTGCAGACAATCTTCCTGCCGTGCTTCAAATCACATTCTGGGCTAATAAACTTGCCAATGAATCAATCAAATCCTGTTATGAGGTTAATCCTTGAATTGTTATTAGGACTAGAGATTTGTCTCAGTACGTTATGAGAAGTCACAGTGCAGTCATGAGAAAGAACAGAGGGACATTTATAAAGTTTATAACTTAAGACAACAATAATAAAAAGCTATGGGTTGCATTAATTTAATAAAGATGACTCTTTTCCTTTGAAAAACTCTCTTGCCATGGTTAAGTTACATAAATTTAAGTATCACTCCCAAAAAGCAAGATCAGCAGTGCAAGCAGGGGAGCATGGCAGGACCGAAGAGCAAGTTAAGCAACGGCCCAAGAGCCAGGGCTGAGCTCCAGCAAGAGGTGAAGTCACTAGGAAAATCTGCATTTTCTCTTTGACTTTCTATCTGTCCTTAATTGAGGCACTGTCCCTGATGGAAGATTTGTATTAAGTTTTCCTGTTGGCCTTTCCTTCTGTGAGTGAACACCCGTGACTACTGAGATCATTTTGATCCCATACAAGCCAGATCTGAGCTGCCAGATATGTATTTACAGCAAGTCAATTACCCACCTTGCTGCAAGGGTATGTATGCCACTTTAGATGAAGAGGTGCTTCATCAGCTTCATTTTTGCATGTGTAAATTAGCAATAATAATGTATTCACCTATCTCACGAGGCTGCTGTGCAAATTAAAGCATTAATATTTGTACAGCACTTGCAGGCTCTCCAATGGGAAATTCTGTAGATGTACAAAATATTGAGTTTTGTCTGAGATAAATTTATTATTAGCTTAATGATATTGCGCTGTTATTATGAAAAGCATAATCATCTTGAGATTTTCCTGCTTGCCACCTGAAAACAGACACGGTATCTGGTTTGCAGTTGCATTTTTCTCCCTCTGATTTCTCCCCAGTGTTCGTACATACCCAAGTGCGGCAAGAACTACGAGGAATCCATGTCGATGGTGAACGTTGTGATGGAAAACTTCCGAAAGTATCAACGCTTCTCCTGCTTCTATGATCCTGAGGGCACTCAGAAGAATGTGATATTGACCAAACTGTACAGCTCCAACGTGCTGTTCCACTCGCTCTTCTGGCCCACATGCATGATGATCGGCGGTGTTGCCATCGTTGCGATGGTAAAGCTGACTCAATACCTTTCTCTCCTCTGTGAGAGAATCCAAAGGATCAACAGATAAGGACGAAAACTCCTCCAAGAGTTAATTACAGATAAAATACTGTTTTCTCATTCTTCACCAAAGAACCTTAAGTTTGTAACGTGCAAGTCTGTTGTAAGTTCCTTACTATATTCTTATAAGTAGAGCAATAATGCAAAAGCTGTTCTATATGCAAACATGATGTTATTATTATGCAGACAACTGAAAAAATTACTGTTTGTGTTGACGATCTCGTTTGATGCTGAGACCTGTACTTCTTTCCTTTCTACAGCCAGAATTGGGCTCAATGTGACCATTTGCCAAACTCAGTCAATTGACTTTCTCAGTGTAAAGGATTCTGGGGAAATTCACGCCTGGAGAAAAGGCAGCAAATGACTTGTGCATCACTGAGGTCTCACCTCTGGCTCAGCCCTGCCAATGGATTTCTGGTTTTGCCTTGTTGTTATTGGTTGCAGGGGAAAAAAGTAGGGAAACAAAACAGGTTTTTTTTTGTGAGCAGGTGGCACCACACAGACTACTGCGAGGCCAGGATAAGTATGAGTGTTTTCTGCCTAAGTAGGACTTGGTGATGCTATGTGTTAGCTCTCCCAGTTCAGAAGTAAATTTTACCCAGTGGTATGTACAGTCTTTTGCAAACACTTTGGAGTTTTATTTATTTTATGCTGTATTTTCCTTCTGTCTTACCAACAGCATCTTTGTCATCTGCAGAAGCTGTAGCCAAAAAAAAAAACAACAAAAAAAACAAACAAGAAAACCAACAAAAATCACCTTGTTCCATTTTGTACTTCAGTGTGAGCCCTGCTGATGGAGATGGGACCAGAACACCTTATGTAAAGGTTTATTACTCATTTGTCATGTATTTGCTACCATATCACTGTAAAGAAAAAGTAACACAATCAGCTATTTTTTCATTTTTTACTTCCAACTATTTTAGATTTTTTTACTTGATATATATATACAGATATACAGATATATATATATATATATATAAAGAAAAGCTATATTATATCTAGTTGTGTATCAGAACTTGATTATGGGATGGTGGCTTTTTTGTTTTTACCAACTGAGAAGCGAACAATGTAACTCATGTATTCATAACCTTCAGCCTTGGATCATATCATAACGTGGAGGAGCAGCACCGCAGGATCCCATCCAATATTCATGATGTTGTGTCAGGCAAAGGTCCCTACTGTTGTAACATCCGAAATGACAAAAATCTAACCCAATTCCACAGCTCTTATTAACTGAATTGTTAGGTAATAATCATAATACTTCTGGAAATCTCTCCTGACCTCAACTCAGCGTGCAGTTCTGGCTGAAGTGAATTCTGATTTAAAATGCCCAGGTGCAAGGATTTATTGGAAATATTCATGTTTTTTTCTAATATGCTGTCCTATCTGTCATTTATTTACCACAGGAATATTGCAGGTCTGATTTCATACACACGCACACACACACACAATAGTCATGGTTTCTGCATAATTTATTTTTATTCCCCGCATAGAAAACATTCCTTTTTATGCTGTGTTTAAAGGTACCTCTTACAGTTTCTCACTTTGCACTTAGTCTGAAGGACAAATGCAGGGCGTGAACTCACTGCCCAGTGATTCAAAGGAATCATTCACAGGCCTATCCAAGCCAAGAAACTAACATTTTTCCCCTCAAAAAGACTGCAAAGCAAATCTTCTGCCTCCTTCATCTCTATGTAAGTACCTTTCTGCAACATAGCATAAACAATTTCAAGATATTATGAAACTTTACAAGTCATGCAAGTGTAACACGAGCTGTTAAAAAAAAAAAAAAAAAAAGTTCTAAGCAGTGAAAATGGAGCTGCAATCTTGTAATCAGTAGTATAATTTTCCTTAGGTAAATAAATGCCTGAAGGGCGGGGGGAGGGATAATCAGGGTTCCAAAGATATGTAATAAAAATATTAAATTAAATCTTCTAGATTTCAATATCTTCTGCATTCAGATTTGGCTTGTTTCATTAGACTTTCCTTTATAACTCCTGCAGCTAAGAAATGAGGAGTGCTGATGCAACAAGGAATTGATGAAGGTTTCTGTGTAGAACATTTTCTGGATCAATTTGTGCAATTCACATGGATCACAGCAGATCTGGGCGCTCCCACCATCAGCAGGACCGGTGTGGCAAAATCTTTGTTGAGCAAAAATACTCTGTCCTCAGCCAAAGCTGACCCTTTTGGGACAAATTCAAGACCAATATAGCCACATGGCTCCCAGTTTTCTTCCTTTACAACACTGCTTTCCCTTCAAGCAGAGGGGCTTGCCCCGTGCTGGTGCACAACTGTCCCCTATTCACCCCCCTGCTACCACCCATGCCAAAGGGAGAGCCACGCTGCCAACCTCAGCTCACAAATCCAACATCACCCCAGGTCCGTGCATGACAACCAGGCTGCCCATGTCAGTGCTGTTTGGTGCTGATGGAGCTCCTGAAACACACTGCACGCTGCACTTGCTGTCAGTGCTCCCTGTGGGTGACACACTGTGATGCTGCTGCTTTCTGTAATCATTTTGTTGACATTAACAGAGAGATCCGTGCGATAGCAAAATAACTTGAGTAATTGGATGGAGCGAGGTAAAACAGTAATTTTAAAGGGAATTAACTGCCTGGCACAGTTAACCCCCCACAGAAGCGTTAGCACTGCAAACACAATGTTGACAGTTCCTGCTGCCTCAAAGAGAAGTGCTTTGGTGGAGATGTGCTGCTCCTTTTCTCTGCCACCATTTCAATATCATTTTGAGTAAAACTGATATTCTTGTAGGCAGCACAAGTGAGTGAGAAACATCCCCTATCCACATACTGCTCTGAGGGTGAACTTGAGTATTTACACAAACCCACCACATTGGAAAAGGTCACTAAAATCACCTACACCCCATAATCACCACGCCAACTAAATGCATATGCTTCTTGGCACAACCATCTCACACCACATCCAGCTGGGGCAGGAAGGAGCAACTGGGGCTGCAAAACTCCCAATGGAAAAGCGTCACAGGAAAATGTCAGCACAGTGCCTGGACACACTGGGGCCCGCTCATGAAACTTAGGGTATGTGTAATGTTGCAGATGCCACATTCATACAGCCTTTTAATAGGTATTTTCTTAATTAGATTATTTACTTCAGGTCTTATTTCTGTTCTGGAACAACTGTGAACTAGAAGTGTGACCAATCCTGCTGCAGTTCTCTGAAACTTGGCACTTTCCTGCAGACTTACTAAATATCACCAGCTAGGACAACAGAGAGCATGGTTGGGTTTAGCTCGTCTGTTTGAGCAGACATCTCTTTTATCTCAAAACATACCCAGAAAACAATCAGTACAAGCTGGAGCTAAATACAGAAAGGGGGCTCGGGAAATGAGAGAGCTGCACTCCTTGAGAAGACACAGTGCCACAGTCGTAGATCTGGCACAACGTCCCAAGGCAGGCTGGGGACACGGCCACTGTCCCCACCTTGGGGACTGTCTGGTCCTTCATCATGGCCACATCACAAAGAGAGCACTGCTAGCCAAAGGCAAGCCTTGTGTGTGCAAAGCGGGCTACTTGGGCAGCACAGCAGCATTTGCTCACATTGAAGCATGCATCCCAAAAGCGGTGCCCAGCAGAGGCAGCTGGCATGACACAAGGTACAGTGCAGCTCAGTGAAATGACTCAAAGCTGTGCCTGCTGTTGACCTGGTCAGGCAGGCTCCAGCACCTGTGTTACAGAAACTGCAGCCCTACAGCAATGCAGTGAAACCTCTAGTGGAAACTGCAACTTACCGCACCTTAAGAACTGGACAGCTAATTCCCCTTCTCATCCAATAATGCCCATACTAATAGAGCTTCAGCTTTCCAAGGGGACTGAACCAGTATCTCTGCAGTAATGCAACCTTGAAGTCTCAGAACCTGAGCATGATAGCATCAGCTCTCCATTAGCTGCTGCACTGCTTGTCATCTATCATAGACCCAGGGAAAAGAACACTTTCTTGCTTCACTGAGCAACCTGAGCTCGTCACTTCCCAGCAGGAAGTCCAGGAGGACATCGCTGTTTGTGACGTACCCAAACATTTCACAACTGCATACAGACTCTTCTGAGTGGTTTGGGTTATCTGAGGAAAAAGTATAAACTACTTAGTTTGAAATGTTTTGAAAACACAATGTTTCCATTTCTCAGTTTGACCCACCGCTGCCTGCTGAAATCCAGGAGAGGAGCAGCTTTCCTACTAGGGATGCTTGAGAAATAAATATAATAGTTCCTCTGGTGCGAAACAAAGCTATCGGCAATTGCTCGGTTCAGTGAATGTTTTGAAGAATTTATTTTTAGAGGCTGACTGGTGACACGTTTCTTCTCTTCCATTCTCCTCAACCATCAGAGGAGCATGGGATCGGTCACGGGGACACAGCCACCAGCAACCCTCCTAACAAACCCCAGAGACATCACTGATCACAGCCATGAGTAAAGCAAAGCATCAGAGCCTACAGCACCACAGCACCAGGAGGGGAAGGAGAAAAGTAACATTTATCCAACCATCACCAGGGTAGCAGTGGTGCAGCTGGTGGCAGCTCCCAGTGCCAATGTCCCCAGCAGCCTAGAGAGGTCCACTTTAATTGGAAATGCTGCCAGGTAAACTGACACCAGGCTTGCCTTCAGTTTGCTAAACCCAAGATGTTTCGCTCCCTGGGGGCCAAACACTGAAGCACTCAGACCCCCACTCAGCATGGCCACAGAGCTGGGTGCTCCCAGGTAGGTGCCGAGCAAGGAAAGAACACAAGCACTGCCAAACCAGATGCAGAATGAAAGAGCTGCCAGGCTCCATAGCACAGGATATATCCAGCAAGAAGGAGCCATGTTTGGGGCTGCGATGGACTTTGCTGCAAGTGAGCAATTTGATCAACCTCACTCAAAGCCTGATTTTCTGCTAACACTATCACACTCCATTTTTCTTAACTCTTAACTCTGACACATCCTATTAGGCACACAGGCAGAGCTAACCAAAAGGCTAAGGAGTATCAGAATTAGAACTGCCATTAAAAGGAATTCAGATACTCTTCTGTCAAAACTGGGAGGCCTTTATTCCATCACAGTTCTTCCTGAAGTTAAGGAAATTCAACCACAGTTAAGTCATCAATGCCTTGCTTTACACTTGTGCACAACAGTACAGTCAGCTAACAGAAATTCACAAGGCACATGATGCTTCTGATGTCCCTGCATTAGCTCCGTGCTGCTGAGCAGTCACCTGAAGGAGGGAGAACATCTGCAGTCCCAGATTTCTGCTGCCATCTCTGGCAGTCCTTCATCTTCAGCCAATATCATTCTGGCCACAAATAGCAGATTAATGATCTGGGAAATGTGTTGCTCTCTCATATCCTTTCCGAGTCCCCTCCCACCCCTTCTGGCCTCTCTCCCTGTGACGAGGTGGCCATGCTGATCTACACACATAGAACAGCAGGAGAAGCAGAGCCCAAGAGCCATCTGCTTCCCATCAGAGTGCTATGTCGCTGGAGTCAGCACTGATCAAAATCCAGATGCCTGCCCAAGGAAGCCTTGGTGTCACCAGCTCTCTTGTCTTGGGAGCTGACTGCCCCCCAGCAGCTTACTACGGACCCACCACCCCAAGGATCCAGAGCTTGGCAAAGATTTAATCACTGCTCCAAGCCCAGAGTCATCCTTCTGTGCCTGCACAGCCAAGGATGGGCTCATCCTATGCTCTGTTGTATGGCTGACAGTAGCACTTAGACCTTTCCTCATGTCACCTCAGCTGAGCAATAAGCTTGAGCAACAATTACTTCCAGCCTCGGATAAAAATCTCCTGTTCTGATGCTGTTAAATTATGTAGAACAAGATTATAATTACATACTAAAAAAAAAACCAACCCAAACCATACACTTTAAAGAACATTATTCAGGTTGCAAAAGCAAGCACTCTAAAGTTTCAAAATGCCAGAAATAGAGCTGCCTGAACAGTTTTCATGCAGCACTGTTTGTATATATGCATTATGATACAGACTTTACCTATACAGTGATATACCACTTCTCCACTGGACACCCGGCCCTAAACCAAGTGGAAGAAGTGCCAGAGCAGATCAAAGAGAATGAGACCAGCACACAGACTTCCCCTAAAGTCGTAAGTCTGTCTATTCCTCAAGTGAAATATAAATCTACCAACACAGACTCAACAGCTACTGGAGGCCATGTTCCCCCAGTTCATCTGGACATTGTCTATAGGACAGGTCACAGAGGAGGGCGGTTGCGTGCACGGAAAGATGGGAGCTGGCCAACTGCAGCCATCAGCTCTGCACACAGACTGAGGACTCTCCACAAGCCGTGACCGTCCCCACCATGATGTGCAATCAGTTCTCAGCCATGGTGCACATCGCCACATCACAGCAAAATGTGGTGAAACACGATAAGGCAGTGAAAGAAATGAGGAGGAAATGAAGTAAAAGTAATTGATTTACCTGGATTTTTTTTCTAAATGTTTTTCCCCATGGTGACTAGTGCTGCACAGGCAGCAGAGACTGTGTCAGAGTCTATATCACTCACGTGTTTAGTTATAATGTCTCCAGCTTTTTTTATTATTATTACTAAGCCTTTGGTCTGAATCTGTTAGAGTTCATGCTCACTGACTCCCAGATATCTCCAGCATAGGAAATGTAAAAAATTAACACAATCTCAATGTATAGATAGCATACTTGCACCATGTAGTATCTCCTGTTCCTCAGGAAACAAATAAGCACATGCACATTGTGAAACATCAAGCATTATAAACAGAAAAAAAAAAAAAAAAGAATTACATCTGCGAAGTCAGCATGACAGGGTTCCCTGGTAAATAAGGCAATGCACTGAGACAAGGACTGTGCGGACATTCAAAGCTTGGACATGCCCTCAGAACTATGAGTTTCAGTTCAGACCTGAACCTCACTGCCCATTAGTTTGGCATGTCTCAAGAACACAGATTCTGACAGTAGGTTCACAGGTTACAGGACTGTTGCAGGCCCAAGAGGCACTGAGGCTGCAAGAAGAGCAAGTACTGCAAGGAATAGCCCCATATTCCTGCATCTGCCATGCTGACCTCTGCAGTCTCCAGGGCTACGTCCAGTCTAAAGGGGTGAGTACTCAGACAAAGCACTCCTCTGACTGCACTTCCATGGAGGCAGCAAGCGCAAGGATCAGGAATCAGCAGAGCTCGAAGCAGTGCTCCAGAGCTGTAGCTCCACATCTGTGCATTCAGATGGCCTCTGGATAGAAGTCCTGGCACAGCAACAGCCTCACAAATCATTGTGTTTGCTTGCAGAAGTAGAGCCCTTAACTGTACCTGTTGGTACCTGCGAATGCACTGTCCTCACACAAATCTGGGGACTTTTAGCTCTGAAGTGGTTCAAGTCAGCAAAATATAGGCCTGGCCAGCAGAAGAGGTTTGCATTTAGTCAGGATGCAGCTGAAAAAATGAGCAATAAACTGTGCCGAGTTCAATGCATCCCTGATTTGGGTCAAAGTCCTGCAACACCCACAAGAGGGCCACCACTCTCCTGGACTGGGTGCCATGGGTGGCTCATCAAACTGCAGCCCTTTCACGCATACTTTGGCAGGCAAATAATTAAATTACAACTCCGTTTATCTTGGAGATTTAAATCAAGTCACAAGATGGCTAAGGCACAGTGCTGAAGGGTTAACACCAGCATTTGGGTGTTTATTTTAAGAAGAGCGTAAAGCCCTGACAGGCCATAATTACAGTGTTGATAAGCAGGGAAAGAATATTTGATGTTTCAAATATCACATGACTAATTGGTGCTGGAACAGCTGTGCATGTAAATCGGGTGATGTGATGTGTGTGGCAAAGAGGAGGGGTCTCCACGCTGAGTGCAGGCCTGGTACTGCTCAGCCACACATCCCCCCAATACCACCAGAGTGTGGGGCCACCTCGTCCTTGTCACAACATCAGGCTGAAGAGATAGGAGAATAACACACCCCTATTTCTGTTCTTCGGTCACCTTTTAGGATTGGGTTTCTAAGTGAAGCATTACAGATGCTCCACACACCAGTGTTGATATTTTTCAGCTGCTGACAATGACAACACTCACAAAATCCTCAGAGTATGCTCTGGTTTGCAGAGGATAAGGCGGAAGGCAGGTTTCTTTTGTTCCAAAACCCACCTACATTTCCTCATTCAGCACATCAACTGTTCTTTTCTCAGCTAAACATCATAGAATTATTACTCTTGGAAGACCACTAAAATCACTGAGTCCAACAATCAACCCACCTCCACCATAATCACCAACCATGTTCTTAAGTGCCACGTCTACCCTACCTACAGTATACAGGAAAACTAGTAGCTCTCCTGGTGCCACTGGAGCAAGGAGCTCCAGAAATAACCACTACCAATTCCAGAAGGAAAGGAACAAGCCCTGGTGACACTACCAAACCTTCAGGCCCTCCACAGTGGATTGCTTCAAGTCAAGCAGGACATCATCTCCTTTTCCTTATGCTTCTTTCTGCACTGGAGGCCTTTCCATCTCCAGCCAGTTGAGAGGATAAGTAAGTACAGTTCAAGCTATTTTTACTTAAGAAAGAGATATATATTTCACTGCTGCATCTCCCTCTCCCCTTCCCAACTTTGCCTCTCCAGAGGCAGAAGCAACAGGAAGTGCACAAGTTTCTCTACCACGTGTTGCTTAAGAAAATCTTTTTCCTCCACAGTCCGTAGAAGAACTATGAACTATTTTTCAAGTAGAGCTTGGTGTGATAAGAGCCTTTAGTTAGTAGATAAAAATGTGTGCACCAGAAATCAAAACAGAGTTTGATTTCTTTCTCTCTCCCTTCTTTTTTTTTTCTTAGGACACCTTAAGGAAAAAAGTACTTGGGTATGACTTCTTATGACCAAAAGTTTCTGATGTTCAGTAGGGGAAGCCATCTGCTCCACAGAAAGGGAAGAGAATGCCAGAGAGCAACGCAAAGGGCTGAGCATGCGGCAAGGTCAGGATGGGGCCAGTGATGTCCCCTCAGAAGCCCAACGCTCACAACAGCATTTGCTGGTACCGCATCTTTGCAGTACTAACCCAAGGGCACAATTCACAGCCAGATTTTGGAAACAAGTGATAGAACTCCTCCAAGGGCTCCTCCGTGTGGTCGCCCATTGACACCTATGTGCCTACACACCCAGTTGCTGAAGGAGCTGCACCCCTTGCTTACAGCCTAGAACTACAGCTGGTGAAGAAATGTATTGCTTTTCCTTGAAGCGCTATAGTCCTAGAAAACTATTTCCACCAATAACCTGTTCTAGTCCCACTTACAGCATAACAGCATCAAAAGCAATAAGTATATTCAGGTCTCCAAGCCCATACAGATTCATCCATAGCATGATACATACCTGGGGAGCGCTGCTAGGAGCCAGGAAACAAGCCAACATGCTGCATGCAAACCTAAAACCTTCCAAAGAACCTACAACTGCTGCTTTAAGCACTTTTAAAGCCTAGGACTGAAGGCCCAAACTGGCCTTAACCATCCCAATCAGAGCCACCTGTGGCCCCCACCCCCCTGACCCCAGCAGCTGTGCTGGAGCTCCATCCTCCCACCTGTGTGTGTGCTCCTGGGCCCGATGTTGTCCTCCACATTCCTCACTCAGGGGGCTGCCATCCTCAATCTCATCCCCATCCCACCCTGGGGATGGCACGGGGAGTCACGGTTTCACCTCTTCCTTTCTGCAAAGCCCAGCGTTTCACTCTAATTGTGTTTTGGCTAGAAGCTGCAGAAGAAGAAAATGATTATGGGTTTTACTATCTCTTACAATTCAGCACAAGTGCCACGGAGCAGCTGTGGCTGAAATGATGAAGTACTTACAGTGCTTTTTTTTTTTCTGTCACAGGTGTTTCTCTTCTACCATAATAAAGACTCACTAGTATCACACTAACAAATAAGTGTACATTGATTAAACCTACTGACACCTGGTTCCAAAGCCAGTAAGAAAAACAACTTGCAAATGACTCTCTAATCATATACTTTTAAAAATCTCTTTATTTGATATATATTATCTTTATGGTCTCTATGCCCCATGCAGCAGCAGTGCAGGGGTTCTTGCTCCACGAATGTTATTGCATTGTGATATTTTCATCAGTAGCTCTCTGGAGGTATATCTAGAGGTCTTTAAGTGGAATCTAACAGAAAAAATGTTATTGTTTTTTTTCTAGCATTTTCTTTTATTATTTCACCTCCCACTGGTAGTAGGATATATAATGCTGTACCCACTAAGCATTTAAAACCACCATAATTTTTAGGAATCATTCTGGAGTTAATCCACTATGACTGAAGGTGAGATAATTTAGGAGTTCATTTAAAATACACTAACATTGATTTCTGACTGCTTTTCCTCCCACAGGGTCACAAATCAGGAGGAAAGCTGTCAGGCCCTGGCAGCACACCTATGCAGCGACTCTTCTATGAGATCCTAATGTGGGATCCTACAGCTCAAGCTTTTCCTGCTTCCTTGCTTCCAAAATAACATGGGTGGGAAGGAGAGAAGCTCCTTTGGGATGATTTTTTTTCTTTGTGTGAGCCTCTGTGTGAGAGGGAGGACATCAAAGGGAAGCAGTCAGGCAGTAGGAGAACCACCATCCAAGTGGCAGGGGGGAAAAAGGTCAGTAAGGAGACAGGCTTTGGTTTCATTCACCATGTTTTCTGTAGGTTACAAAGCCAAGCTTTGGGAAAGCTTGGGAAAAAAACCCAACAGAGTGAGACACAAAACAAGAATCCTAAAAGCAGCAGGATTTTTAACTGCAGCTGATGATCCAGCTCCCAAGCAGACAAATTACTCTGTGAGAAAAGTGGTGCAGCCAGCTCCTTTTCAATTACGGAAAGCTAACACAATCAGCTCCTATTCTTTTTAAATAGATCTGGTGGGTTTAAATGAATGAGCATAATATGTGGTCCATTTATTTTCAGGAACACTGCAGTGAAAGTTGCTTCATGGAATCAGTCCAAAAATCCTGACTAAAGAAAATCAATAGGAACTATCCACCTTTCTTTAAATAATAATTAAGAATAAAAGGTATTTTCTTCCTTAAAGCTCAATTCACTGTGGCACTGTTACTGACCTTGCTTAAGACCCACTCAGTGTTTTTTATGGGGGCTTCCTTCAGCCGCATTTGCAGAAGCTCCTGTTCCTCAGGCTATAGGGTTAACTACAGATCTGCTTGAGGCTGAATTGCAAAGGCAAAGTTCATCTTGGAAAGCAAAGGTGATGGCTTTTTGTTGTCACTTTGTGTGCGAGGGGGGGAATTAATGTCCTTGTTGCCTGTATCAAGGCACCAGTTCCCCATGATGTACTCCCCTGGTATGGCCAATCTGTGTTTGGTATGGTTGAATTAGGAAGTCTGCCCAGCCCAGCCTGTGGCATTGCTGCCCATAGCACTCCAGTTCTGAGGCATTTGCTGTGGTTTGGGGACTTTGTGGGTTCAGCAGACCCAGCCATTGAAGTGCTGGTGCAAGTCGTGATGAAAGTTGTTCAGCACATGCCCTGGAAGAAGGAGTTCTAATAATCCATTTGGTCTCTCTTGATTAAATACTTTGCTTTCATTAGGCAAAGAAAAGAGTCCCTGATGGTTTCTGCTGCATCTGTCATGATAGCACTGGGCAACACATTTGTTGTTTGAGATTTAAGAATGAGTCACTGGCACTCTGGGACATGAGGTCCTCACCACCAGAAAGCAAATGGTTCTGCCAGCAATTTTCCCTCTCAAACACCGGCTTAGCTCAGCCATGGCTGCATGCAGCCCCACTCTCATCATTAGCAGCCATCGGCAGGTGGTTGTACTTGCTCTCAGAACAAGATTAGACGAGATGCACACTTCTGGCATTTATAGAAAGCTGCTCATTCTCCTGCCTGTACCAGCTTACGTAGCCTGGCTCCTTGTGAAGGGCTGTAGGAGGGTGCAAAACCTGGCTATCTTAAATGAAGATACAGTTATTCTTTTCAACATCACGTATCATATATTGTTCTTGTATATCATATATCTAATAGACAAAACAGTCTCTGGAGTTGGTGGGGTAGGTATCTCAGATAACATGGAGGTTAAGATGAGAAAGTGTCTATACCAGACTTAAAAATGTATGACTGCTTAACATTAAATGGCAGTCAATTAAATTGAGGTAGAAAGTGCCCATAATGGACAAACTCAGAGGAAAAGAACTCACTCTGCTGTATATGTTAATTTTAAATCACTGGACCTGTGTCTTTTCCAACACGACCAAGGATTAATCTTCATTCACATTCCAATGGAGATAAGTAAATTGCTTAAACAAAGTCATTTTTCAGTTTTCTGTGCTTTAGGAATAAGCCAGAACCCTTTTTGATGGAATGTATATCATAATTTTAAATGACTGCTCTTTAAAGTTCTCCTTCCAGGCTGGAAAAGCATCAGGAGGGAGGGGAAGGGGATTTCCCTCTCAGCACTGTACCCAGGCAAATCCAGGAATCATCTCAGCTCCCAGCCATGAGGCTGTATTGCTCCTGAGTATGAAGAACTGAGATCTTATTTTCTTTTTGTTCCAAAAATTGAAAGGCTTGGGATAACATTATGAAATTGGAATCAACAGCCAAAGAGAGAGAACTGTACATATTTTATTGCAAGAGCTTTCACTGGGACAACATTAAGGGTATTTGCTTTGCAGCAAATTGTTACTATGTGCGGTATATGGATTTCTTTCAGACTCTTTTCATTCTCTATTAAAAAAAAAAAAAAAAAAAAAGAGTGTTAACATTGCTCAGGAAATTATTAGGGATTCACTTTGTGGCATCTGAAATTAATGTAAATTGAAGGCAGCCTTGCAGGTGCCAAAGTGAGGTTCTGAAGTTTACTATGATGTGAAGCAAAGAAAGAGCTGAAAAAGCATGAAGATACTCATCAAAACACTCCATTTTACTGCACAGATTTTTCTATTTTCAAAAGGCAGCAGAGGTGAGACTATCATAGCAGTTAAATGGATGTTTTGTTGAGCTAGCACATATAGATAAATGAATCCTCACTGTGAGATGCGAGTGAACAAAGAATTCGTCGGAGCTGGGGCAGCCCGTGGTGCCCCAGCAAGGAGCCCTGCTCCCCACGCACCCAATCTGCTGCAGCTAGTCATAGAATCAATCATTAAGGTTAGAAAAGACCTCTAAGATCACAAAGTCCAACCATCAACCAAGCCCATCATGTCCACTGGCCACATCCCTCAGTGTCATATCTGCACAGTTCTGAACACCTCCAGGGGCGCTGACTCCACAGCTCTCTGGGCAGCTTGTGCCAATGCACCACTGCTCTTTTCCTAATATCCAATCTGAACTTCCCCTGGCACAACTTGAGGCCATTATCTCATGTCCTATCACTAGTTGATGTGCTCCAACCCACAAGAAAAATCCCAGTCCCATCAGTATTTCTTGATATTTGCACTTATTTACTGATAAATAAATACCTGTGTACTCATAAATAAGTACCCTGCACCCAAGCCAGCAGCGTACATTAATAGGTCACTTCAGCTGCTGTCCTTGTCAGGAGGGTCTTGTTATCAACTCAAAGAAAGAGGAAGGAGGGGGCAAAGTATGTGCGTCTGGGATTTAAGTAAAAGTGGTCAAAGCTCTGGCATTAATCTCCTATGGAACCCAGGGCAAAGCACGTATTTCTGCTTTCGTATCCCATATACAGAATTAATTCAGTTGTACCCAGTAGTTGTGAAAAATCAGCAGTCAAGAGTGTAAATAATGCAAACGTAAAATAGGCTTTGCAGTGAGAAGAAAATAGATGGCAGCCCTCACAATCCTAGCTGAGGACGGATGTCTCCAGATGCCTCTGGGAGGGATGATATGAGAGAAGCCTGAGAACCCCCGTACAAGACAATTTTCTATTCTAAGGCACTGGAAGTTTATAATGGCCCCAATTGCTTTGGTTTAGATCATTTAGTCTGTTTTGCTAGCAAATATCACCATGTGCTGATAAGCTAAATTTCAGCAAACGTTGGTACAGTCAGCAGGGAGCCAGGTTTGCTCTACTCTTTAAGTTCATCAAAGCACATTCTTTTTTGCCTTTTTTTTTTTTTTTCCTTCTCCTTTTGACTGAAGTACTGCAAACACTTTAGATCACAATCTGAATAAAGAACCTCACACAGCAAACACACGCTGCAGTCTCAGCACCCATTGCTGAATGGGTCCACCTCCCTTTGCACCTCCTCAGTATCTACATCAATTGCACTGTGCCCACTGCAGTGAACTTGGCACTGGTACACAGCAGCTTTCCAGGCTGCGGAGCTCGAGCCAGTTATCATTCACTCCCAGGTGCTGTAATTGGCCTTAGAAACCTGCATGTCTTAATTCCTGGGCCCCAGCCCAGCTCTTGGTGGGAGCGCCAAGGTCACTGCAGCCCTCAGGGATCCAGCTCGGAGGGAAAAGGAGGAAAGGCTCCTTTTTCTGTGAATAAAATTGCAGTTCTGACACTCACAGGCTATTTGCTGGAGTGGAGCAGGGCAACAAAGCTGCCCCTTTGCAGGCACAGCCACCACATCCTTTGGTCCGCTGCTGGGTCTGCCATTTTGGAGTCCTCTTCCTCCAGCAGCATGTCAGAGAGCCTCTGATGGCCACTGGGTGCCATCTAAAGCCATGGGTCTGGCCATGGATAGCTTCGAGAACAGAGCAGGAGCTGCATCTCTACATTAAGAGACTGGTAGTGATTTGAGTGCTCATTAAGAAAGATCATTATTGACTGCAATGGGAAATGGACCAGGTTCTTACACATCTATTAAACAGTGAGAAAGCAGTGAGGATGCTGTCAGTGCTGGGGAAATAACCATAATAATGATGTGCTGAAAAAATGCAGTTTTGTTTTGGTAGAGCTGCTACCTTTGACGATAGCAAGAACCTGTCTGGAAGAGACAGGACATTTTTATTTGAAACCGAGTATTGGGTTTACAAGTATCCTTCCCCAAAACCTAATGCTATAAGATTCCTCTTGACTCTCATTTTTACTTCTAACATTTCCTATTTGATCTATTTCCCCTTTTCTTAACGGCAGAGAGGGGAGAGAAAGGGAAGGAGTGTGCAGTATCCCCTCTGTCCAGGTCCTCACCATGTAATGAGAGCTCCAAATCAATACAACAGGCCCTCACCTCCCAGCTGCAAAACCCACCTCACTTATCAACCATCATCCCAACAACAAAAACTTCTCCATCTATATTGCCATGGAGCACACTGGCTCCCCAGAATGTTTGCTGGGATTATGAACATATATGACTTCACAGACACTGATCAGTGCAGAAAATCTCCGTACTGCCTCTTCACTGAAGGAGGTTTCAGCCCAATCATTCAGGCTTCACTTTGACTTTCAA